ACACACACACACACTCCCACACAGACACACACACCTCTTGCGCTCGTCTTTCTTTTCTTCAGCGTAGTTAAGTTTGTGGTTTTAATGTTTCATTCATCGAGTTTCTCTTGCGTGTGTTCATTCTCTTGTTCCCTGTCTTCTGTCTGTGGCATTAACACACACACACACACACACACACACACACACACACACACACATGTACGTTGTCTCTTTAGAAGTCATAGATATTCTCTGCAGACCAATTTCCTCATGAATAATCATGGAGCTTCATTGTGGAGGCGAGTGCGGTGCCAAAGTCATTTCTTCGACAGGCTGAAGCTTTATACTGAGTCAATCAAGCTGAAATATCTCTGCAATGGCTCCTATTTCGCTCAGAGTCACTCCCTCCCTATGAATATAATTACTGCGATGGGCCGCGTCTACAGCTCCTTCGTTTACCACTCCTACGAACTGAATGGGGTTTGAACTCGTGAGACCTACTTTTCAGATTGGTTCATTTGGGGGCTCGATTGAGTGTTAAGTCTCACCTGCCGGTCGCTTGTGTGATCGCAGATGAAAGTTTTCGGGTCGAGTTTCTGGCTGTCGACAGAGAAGTGTCTTGCATACACTTGAATTAACTTAGGTTATAGCCACAGACACATCTGGTAAGAAGAATAAATATCAACAGGGGCAAAAACAACGTCCTTGGCCAAAATAACAACAATGTGGAGTTCTCATAGTCACGTAAATACACTAGATGGGAATTAATCGTTCACGTTTTTGTGTCGCAGGTTCGGGAAGCACAGAAAAGACGAGCGTCCGGGGGAAAAGCTGGATCGTAAAGGCTCCAGCAAGTGGAGGTCGGAGGAGACGCAGGTTTCTGAGGAGGAGACGCTGAAGATGAGGATGGAGCAGGAGAGGTAAGATTCACGACGCTGTTTCTGCTGAATTATGTTGAACACATTTTTTTTTTCTGTTCGTTCTGTCTCTTGGCTTCTTTCCTCTGGGATCAGATGTCAAAGAGGAAAGAAATTGTCACAACCTCGCAGCTACACTGAGGCATGAGAATCAAAGTGGATCCAATATTTTTCTTTTTTTTTTATTTCCCGGGAAGCCGTTTCTGTTTTTGCTGTGAATTCCCTCAAGTGTCTTTTATCTATCAAATGGGTCAATTCTGTTTTTAAAATACTATTACTGGAAACAGCTCCATTTTACTGTGGGAGTGAGTTGACATTGGGTTTGTAATTGATAACCACAGATCAGTGTTAACACTCTCGCCATTCGTACCATGATACCAACGTCTGCACCAAAACCTGTGAGGAGGATTTCGTGTGGGGGGGAGAGAAAACATAAATACTGAGTCTGATGCTGTTTTCGGCTCGTTGCCTAAAACCAAACAGCCCCGAGTCTCTTTCTCGGTGCACCTCTGTCTCGCTCTTTTACCCAAACTAAATGTCAGGTGGGCACCGTGCCAGTTTTTTTTGTGGCAGCGGTTTGTAAATGCCAAGGCCATTACAGCCCTGCCAGCTAATTAATTCCCTTGCTCTCGGTGTAGGGGCAGGAGTCATTACTCCCCTCAGTTGCTCGTTATGAAATTTGGTTTGTAATTCTTTCTTTGCGCCCGCAGAGCAGATAGTCCGGTAATAAGATAATAGCCGAGTCTTTATTTTTAATTGGCATAAGGTTATCGCAAATGCCACGTCAGACGATTCGGTTATTATGCTGGATATCGTTAAAAGTTCAGAGCGGTCGCTTTGTATGTTAATCAAGTCCGTGGCTTCTCCGTTGTTTCCGGACCTTGAATTTTAAAGTCGCAGGTTTTTTTTTTACATGATGGAGATTCAACCACACTGGAGCTCAGAAACCGGAAATTTCAAACATGAATAACGGACAGAGTGGACTTAGTCGGACATGTAGTGCTTATATCCTGAATTTTAATTACCGTCAGTGAGATTTGAAGCTTTTCAGTGTTTCATAATGAGAACATTATTTTACATAATGAGGATATTATTGGCTTTTTAGTCGAGGTTAATTCAAGACTTCACCACAAAATGTAAAAAATGTATTGAATGCTCTTTGAAACCACTGAACGCTGCAGTAGTCAATATGTTCTGAATCTGTTTGTTGGAATAAATGTCATTACACAAAGTAGAGGCTGGGTTTTTACAGTAGTTTAGTATTTTACCAAGCTGCTCTAGTTTTTTAAACCATTTTCTGTGCCTTCCAAGATTTATCCTTGGGACAGGGCGTCTGCAAGAACTGGGTCAGTTACTTTGTGTGTTTATTCGTTCTGTTGTTTGTTGGCATATAATAGTTTTGTCGTGTACAGCTCAGGGCAAAGAGGGAGCTGAGGGAAATCAGGCAAAATAGTGGCTGAGAAACCAGAATGAGCTAAATGCAGGTAGGCATCCACGGAGCAGGAACTATCTTGGGATTGTCTGACAGCAGTTCTTAAGTCGATGCATTAATTATTTTGTTCAGTGTTGGGTGTTTGACTCACTCCAACCAACCGTGCCCCCTCCCAAAGCACCCGGAAAGCACAGGCTCGCCTGTCGTTTGGATTTAACCATCAGCTGAAATAACGCCGATATTGACGGGGGAAGATCCCGCTGAGAACGCGGAAGTCTGTGGCTCTTTCGCTTTTAAACAACAATCTAGTTAGTTGTGATTCGCCAAGCTGCTCCCCCAAGGTTCAGCTGTGAGGTTCTGGCACCTCGCTGCAGTGCACCTATTGATTGGCCTCTGCCAAAGGCTGTGGTTAATCCAGCTGTGATTGACTAGATGGAAAGCAGGTTTAAATCTCAGGACCCAGTGGATTTCAACCCCTCGGCTATTCAAGCAAATCTAGACAGACAACCCAGACAGCACAGGGATGTTTGCAGGGGATTCTATATGCTAATTTGAAGAGAAGAAAAACATGCACAAACTGTATGGAGATAAGTTTTTATTGTCAATATTGTTCTGTATTGTAATGTATTGGTCCTTAATCAGATAGTGACCTGCGTAGTAGTTTTTACCTCGTCTGAGTACAAGTGTGTCGGAGAAGATGAAAAAATATCTGTTTGATTCAATGTGAAACTGCAGCAGTTAAAACCAGGTCTGAAACGGGCCAGAGGCAAATGGGCCTGATTGTTGAATTGTCCCAGAGGCTTCTTCAGCTCTGACTGCTGAGGGAATCTTAGTCGTTCAAACTCTCGAGGCCATTGATTTCCGTTTGTTCGTTAACCGTCATTGAAACAACAGTCATTAGTCGTGGAAGTCACCTGGGGCCGAGTCTAAAACGACAGTCATTGAGGTTTTTGCTTCCACATGAGGAAAAGTGTTGTTACATTTCCTGGGACAGGATGAAGAGCAGTAGTGCAGGTTGAGGGACATTCTAGGACATTCTAGGACATTCTAGGACAACAAATCACATATTCTGGATGGAGAGAACAAGTGGTTTGAAATCGGAGGCTGTGACTCCACTAATCTCTCACCTACAATGCTGCCCTTTCATCCTTTCCCAGGAGATGTACGGTCCATTCACAATTGGCCTCACATGACTCCAAAAAGTCCCAGTGACTGTTGTTAACAAGGTTCCTCTGTGTCTGTGGCTCTTGTATCAGCCGTCCTCAGATTATCTGGAGTCACTATAGGCCAAGTTACATCAACGGCCTTGATAATGAACCCAGAGAGTTTCCATACCTGTAGTTTTAACTACATCAGAGCTGTTTGTTTGTTATTTAAACTAGCGCAGTGCTGCTTGGAATGGAATTGTTTGTTTGGTCTGTGGTGCAGCTTCCTCTCTGAAACTGTAAAACTGACCTGCAGTGACTGAGCCACAGAAAGTAAAGGCCGACTGCTGGTGTTGTTGTTTCAGTAGCTGTGTTTATTCAAAGTGTATTTATATGGATGTGACCTAATCGCACCAAGTTCAACACTGCACTTACTTGGGACCTGAACAACACACATACCAAGTGTGAAGCTCATAAGATGGACAGTCCTCGACCTGCGAGCCACTTTCATACTGAGCTTTCTGGAATTAGTAGAGAGATGAAGGTATTAGCCAACTTTAATGACTGTCAGATTGATGGATCATCTTTCCTTATCTTTGCTGTTTAGGATATAAATCAAATATTCTTCATGACATCGGTATTTGCACCGGTTTGATTGGCGGAGTCGGCTGCCAGAGGACATTGGCCTGTGCTTTGGCAAAAAGAGCCAAAGTAAACTTATGGGACGAGACTTTTATTTGCCAGAGCTGTTTGTAAACTAAAGCACGGAACGCTCGACGCATCAGTCAGTGTGTAAATCCAGTTTGTGCTTTAAGAGGCAGTCACACGGCAAAACGGTTAAAAGTTCAATCGATAAAGCAGCCGGTGTTCTGCACAGTCATCAAGTCATTTGTCCGAGTGAACTTCCCTCGACCTGGACACTTGCTCAGCTTCATGTTCGTCTAATGCAAAATTTATTTTCGGGTTTCTCTACCACTTATGTTCCACGGAGAAATGTCACTTTCTCATTATTTCCTGGACTTTTTTGCGTATCTGGTTTGACCTGTACGAATGATCAAAGTCCTGCAGAATCCATCTTGAAGAACGTTGCAAGTTTTTCAAAACATGCTCAACTTTCTTCACTGAACCACAAAAGATTTCTGTGTGTTATCAATCCCGAAAAGGATTTTCAGCAGCAATCTTATCCCGCTGGACTCTCTTCCTTCATGCACTTCCTGCCTTTCTCCGTGCTCCATCACTTATGTCAGTGTTGTCGCTAAAAGGAAGGTTTATTACACAGTGGGTACAATAGCACATAATGGACCATTGTACTGGCTCCATGTGGTAGAAAGGTCACTCTCCCAAACACCTTTTTTTAAACTACAATGTGCCATCCTGCCTTTTCTATACTCGTTTATCTGTGTTCTCTCCTTTTTCTGCGGTGCTCTTTCTTTGTCCAGCCTCTGACTCTCTTTCAACCACTTACCCTTCACGCTGAGAGTGTTTTCATCTCTCATCAAGGTTTTTCCTTGCACAAATATTTTGGGACTGAGGGCAATGATTAGGCCAAGTGTGCTTTTCCTTCCTTTCCCATTTCAATCAACGTAATTGTCTTTGTGGAGCTTTTTTTCAGCCACAAGGCAAAATTCCCTGATTCCGTCTGAAAGGAAAAGTCAGCTGAACATTTGCTCTACGGGAACTGAAGGTGCCTCAGAAGAGTTGAACATTTTTGAAAAGCTTTCTTGGAGGGTGGCGTCTGCAATCATGCTGGATTCACACCAGTTACCTTGAATTATTTTCTGATTTAAAATGCGTTTCAGCATCTCCACGGCCAATGGTTTGGCTTTGGTTGCTTCTCGGCTCAGAGCAAAATGGGAAGAGTTTCTCTCATTGCAACAAGCTACCTGACTGTGACAGTAAAAATGTCTCAATATCTTTACAGAAAATGTGAATTTCAAGCAAAGTTTGTTTCATATAATCTTTGGTTTTAATAGTTGTGATCAAACATGATTGTAGTTTTCTTTCAACTGCCTTAAATATGAAAATACTGAGCTGTACATTAAATGTATTTGATTATTTGAATCTGTTTTGTAAAATTATCTTTCTACTAAATTGGTTGAGTTTTTTTCCTTGAGCCAAAGGTGATTGTTTTTCACCCTTAAGACATTTTGTAGACGAAGAATTAATGCAATCAATCAATAAAATGTATCTACAAATTAATGGATGATATAATAATGCTGTATATATTGTGTTTTAGACCGTCCTTGCTCTGTCTTCAACACTTCAAATCATAAGATCTTAGATATCATTGCTCACCTAACGCAACTGTGTCAAAGCTGCATCCTTCCTCACTCAGAAACCGTCCCCGTTGACTTGTCCACTGCCTCGTCATGGGAAGGGGCTGCACAGAGAAGGTCGTGCTCTGGATTGGTATGTCTGGCCTTATCTTATCAGCCACTGTGCTTGTGTATACAATCAGTAGCTGCTCCCACTCCTGCTTTCTCTGATGGAAAACACTGTTTTTCCCTCTGGCTCTAAAGATAGATCCCTCAAGGGCCCCACTTCCTTCTGCACCATTAGATAATTGCTTCGTCTACAAATAGTGCAGACGCAGTGTGCAAATCCACAAGCTTCCATGTGACGTGAGTGAAGTTGTTGGAGTAAGTTTGCAGTTTGCTGGAAAGATTGTTACCCCTGTCCCGGGTGGGTGGGGAGCCGTTAGTCATCAAGTTCATTACCACACGTATTTCGATGTTTCTAAGTATTTTCATCCATTTATTATTCACACTTTGCTCCCTCCGAAGAGGAGCCATCCCTATCAGACTTATTGTTTCATTATGCACAGCATGCACATTTTCTGGAGGAAGCATTTCCGATTTTAGCCCGCTGAGTGTTCTGTGAAGTTGCACCCCCTACCTCCGCACCACTGCGGCTGTCCCATTCGCTTTCTTGCCGCCATTAAAAAGGGGCCTGGAGAAAAGAGAGCAGTATGATAATTGGTAGTTGTAAAGCTCTGATAATTGGCAAGGCAGTAATTATGGGGCTGCTCAATAGGTAGTCCCCCCGCTGGAGAAAATGGTGTTGCCAGTTATTCACAAGATAATGGCCTAAAGAGAAAGAGTGTGTGTGTTTTAGCCGTGAGACAGAGAGGTGTCAGAGGTGTGTGTAAAAGGAGGGCAGATATACATTACCGGCACTCTGTGAATACAAAGTGCTTTCCTTGTTCGAGGTGTTGTGGGGGCGAGAGTCTATTATGCATTGTTTATGGTATTATTCAGTGGGGGGAAAAAACATAAATAATAGACTCCACAGCTTCTCCCTGCTCCGTAATGGAAAGTTGAAAAGGCACAATAAACAACCACTTGCAGATGTTGCTGTTGTGCGTCACAGACGTTTCGTTAGTGTGACTCCTGAGATTTACATCATGTCTCCGGCTTCGTCCACATTTAATAAAGGTGTTTTTAAACAACAATATTCATCCAGAAGAGAGTTTTAGCCAAATGTAAGAAATAATCTCTGCCTGTTGTAACATGCATGAAAGCATATGTTGCATAATGTTCACTGGTCATGCGCTAACTGATGTAAATAAGTTGTTGACTCTGTGTGTTGCTAAGTTGCAGAAATACTGGATTTCTGTTTGAAATGACAACAAGGTTAGACTGTTTAAGGACGAGATAGCAAAGCTTGTAATTCATTAATGATGTTGTAAGTCGAGACTTATTTGACCATGAGATTTACCAAAGGTTTCCAGTTCAAGGAGTCAAAAACTCTAAACCAGTTTGAATACCAGAGGAAAACCTGGCAAACGTAACGTGTTCTGGAACAATGGTATTAGTGAGGATGTGGCTGAGAGGAGACCGGAACATTTCTAACCAAGATTCATAAAGTGTTTCATTTCTATTCACACAGTTCTTGAGCTGAACTTAATATGTAGTTTCATCTGCTTGTATCCTGCAATACTTTTTACTTCATGGCAAAATTGGATGTGCTCTTTGATTTGTGTGAATTGTCAATATGAATCATAGTTAACTGCATCGTCGACATATAGTTTTTTGGTGCCAAATGATTCCTCACAATCTGTTTAGCTAGTTTGGATAGCAACAAGCTAAGCTACCTGTGGATTTGAACTGAGCCTCATCAGTATCAGTAGATGTTAATGTTACCTTTAAGAGGTACTATAACTCAGGATGACTCTTTCCTTTTCGTTGTGCTTCAGTTGAGCACCACTCCAGCTCTTTGGCTCCAGTGCCTGAGGCTGAACAGACTTACATTATATGATTCCATAAGTTGAAAAGAACCCACTGCACTATTTAATGCAGATAAAAGAACCTCACATAGATTCAAATGATAATAATAAACACTAGGAGCAGTTCCAGTTGGGTTCCTCCTCAGGCCCTAATGACCAAACACAATGTAAACTCTGTAAATATGACATTTTCTGGGCCAATTTGGAAAAAACATCTACAATATGCTTATGAACACAGTGAAGCCCGGGTGTATTTTACTGCCCTTGATACATAAATGCAGCACTAACCCAGATCTTAGTCCCGAGCTGCACATAACTGTGACTGAATATAAGATTCTCAGGCAGAACATCTGTAGAATCAACATGCTCCTTCATCATCTTCGTCTCCAGGATCCAGGCCAAGACGAGGGAGCTGAGGGAGCGACAGGCCCGGGAACGGGACTACGCTGAGATTTTGGACGTAAGTCGCACGCCGGAGAGGTCGTCTGAGGAGGAGCACACGTACGCCGGGATCAACCCCCTGAACAGCTCGGTGGACAGCGGCCACAGCCGACCCCACAGCCCCCGAGACGATTACCCGCACATCCATGCACACCACCAGCACCAGCACTCAGATTCCCTCTACACTCAAGTCAGCAAGGCCCGCAATGACCGGCCTCCTTCTGCAGACAGGTAGGTTTGGGTTCCTGTTTCGGGAAATGTCTCTTCTTAGACTCCGTCGTCTTTCGGAATTAAAGTTTATTAAACCTTCTTGTTTTTTTAATTCAGTTTGACAATTTCTCCCCAGCTGCAGCCTGGGTCATTTTATTCCTTGAAGAATTTGTTGAAAGTAACGAATTCCACAGAAGTCACCCTCCCAGCCCTGTTATTAATGCGTCATTTACGTTCAGACCAGGTGACGAGCTGCCGGTCATGCCTCAGAAACCATTCAAAAGCACAACCCACTCCTGGTATTTCCGTGAAAGGTCTTTTCGGGGGCTTTATTCTTTCTCTCTTTCCCGGCTCTCGTAACTCTGAGGCAGCATTATTGCCCGGAGACGGCGGCTGGCTATCACACCTAGAGGAGAAAATAATCACAGCAACAGAAGGCAGGTGGTAAATGTCAGCTCGCCGACTGCTAGACACAATGCGGCGTTCTCGGGGGGATGTGGGATTGCTCTGGGGAGGCGGTGAGTGAATGGAAACCTTTGAATATCCGTCTCTCTTTCTGTCTCCCTTGACCTTTCTACCTGTCTTTCTTTCCCATGTTGATACCACCTTGTTGCTGCCTTTTTCGCTGCACTCCTCCCATTCCCCTGCCTTCCCGTGAAGTGTTCTGTCCGAGCTGCCTCCAGCTCAGACCCATGATTAAGAGCTGTCAGTCATTTTAAAACATTGACATCCCCTTTCTCTTGGGTTTTATATATATATATATATATATATATATATATATTTATAGCAGCCAAGCGACGTTTAAAGCGAAGTCCATTGCAGCGATAGCCGGCCAGAGAAAAAAGCCACAGTGTGCTTTCATCCTGCACCCTGTCAGCAGCAGCAGTTGTCAGCACTGCAGGTCTGCTCCCCAATCCTGCTCCGATCAATGCAGAGATTCGAGGCCCCGTGATGGATTTGGGAAACTGGGGCCTGCAGCGTCGCAGGAACACAGGCAGAGGCAGGCGGGCACATCCGCAGCTGAATCAATGGGCTTGTCTTGGTTTTCACGCATCCCCAGATGGCCCCAGCAGCCTGTGTGTACTTCACCACTGTTGCAGCTCATATTGATTCATAATTCATTGAGCTGCTGTTGTCGCAGCGTAATTTTTTTTTTTCGTAAATCCCTGATGTGGCTCTATGTTGAGGAATGCAGATGCAAAACAGAAGATAGTATACCAGCATCACAGATATGGGGTCTTATTTAATTAGGTGAGGGAAAATGCTCATGATTTAGAATCTAATCATCTTCTTATTAAAGATTAGAGCTTTTTCCCACAACCACCACATAAGCAATTTAATGTTTTTCTCCCTCAGCCTCCTGTGAGATTGTGTTTAGCTGTGTTCCTCTTTGGAGTGAACAGGATTCGCAAGAAAGCTTTTCCCACCGAGTCCGCAACAACAACAACAACAAGCTAATGGATTAGTGATGAAATGATTCAACAGACAGTTTTGTTAAGTTTTAATCCTGCAAGTTTACAGTTGTTTTAAATGTCAGGATTGGAGAAGCCGCTACACGTATAGCTCTATATGCGATTTCAGGATGTTTTGATTACAGCAGTGTAGGTGCCAGGGACACAAACTCCTCAAAGATTGGATGTCGTTCCCCTGATCCCCTCGTCGTAAGAAAAATATACCTCCCGAGAGAACCAGGAAGTGCGTTTCCTGCGTCCTGTCTGCCCCCCTACCGAACAGGAAGTGAATTAGACCCCACCATGCCACGCACAAGAGGGAGGGAAACTCTCCCGGCGGCGGGAGTGTTTGTTATTATAGGACTCAGATGGCAGCATGAAGTGATACCAGAGCTTAAGGACTGTGGAGATTTGATCAAAGCAATAACATGTCCGTAGAAACTGAGAGTGAAGGAAAATGTTATTTTTTTCCTACACTAACTCTTCGCTTTTAAAACGGCAGCAAAACGTAGACGGTTCTGTGAGAGTCAGCTTGTTTTCTAAGGCAAATGGAAATTAGCTGTGATGTATTGCACTGGATAATTGTTGTGCAATTATTCTACATCAAATAAGCAGTAAATCATTAATAATAATAATTATTATTATTAAAAAATAATGGGACTCAGTCGAGAATGTACCAAACACACCCACACAAGATTATGGACTCAAACATTTTGAAAATTATATTCGGGTTTAGTTTGGGGTCGGTCATTCTGGTGCGAAACAGGTCGTGAAGTGCAGCATCACAGAGATTTAATATTTTTCACCAAATAAAACTGATTTTAATGCCATGAAGTTTTTAAAGACCAACACATTATATCCTGAGATATTAATAAATGTGGAAATACAAATTTAGCCAGATTCTTCCCTGGCTCGTGCGCCACCACCTCCAACAAGTTTGGTGTTAATTGATTTTTTTTTTTCTGGTTAAAGGTGAAAACACATCCTCCTCCTGGGAGAATACCAGTAAATCTGATTTTGCTTTGGACTGGATTTGCCTTTTTCACTGTTCGGTTCAGGTTCACTGTTAAAGTGGCGTGAGTCTGTGGCGTGAACTTGTTGCTGAGTGCATCGTGTGTGAACCTCTCCAGTATTTTATGCCTATTTCATGACTCAAATCAACCATGATGTGACTTTCAGACTGTCACGGTTTTATATTTGTGTCTGTATGGTCTTGTTGTTCTTCCTGCCATGTTGTGATTGTCACAAGATTATGATTCAGACTCAAGCCGAAGGGGTCAAAGCTATAGCAGACAGATTTGTACATATTAAAACATATATATATATAAATATGCACAACAATCGCTGCATTTCTGTACAAATAAATAAGACAGAACATAAACATCTCAACCAACCAGAATCTTCTCCAGCGTCCAAATGACGAAACCAACCCTTGACTGCTTAAGTGCAGTCAAGGGAAAACAAAAGAAACTTGAAACTATGCAGCTGCATACATTTCCAGTGATATTTGTTTTTAATTGCTTCTTTTTCCCTTCAAACATCAGAAATGTCAATTTAACTGCAGAGTTTTAAAAAAAAAACAACCAAAGAGGCTGGAAGGAGCTTCAGAAGCCTTTGGGAAAGCGTTTGCCGTTTCCTTTCCTTTAAGGAGCCACGACGACGGTGTTCAACCGCTGCAACACGGCTGAAACAACACGAGCTCTTTCTTCTCAAGTCTGCTCCGTGACATTTACTTTCAGGATTAGACGTGTGGCTCCTCTCTTATGTTCTGAGCCACGTATTTTAACGAGACAGTCAATTGGAAGTTGAGCGTGTTTTTGCAGGAGCGCGAGATGTTTTAGTTTGTGTTGCTGTGCAGTTGATTGCGTAGGTGGTGTGATGTATTATCAGGCTTCTTTTTTTTTTTTTTTTTAAGTGGTTCTGTTTTGGCTCTCGACCAAATTGCATAACCTTGCTGCAGGGACACTGGTGGTCTTTGTCTCCCCCCTGCCAAGAGAAATATTGTCCGAAGCTCAGTGTTTTATCTCCTCCAGTGTTTTCCCGTCATTACAGCTAAAATAATATTACTCACCGAGGCCCCAGAGTGTGTAATTGTCATGTGGTAACATTTGTCCACAAACGGAAATATCACAAAAAATTGCTGCCAGATCCTCTTTTTCTTATTTCGTGTTTACAGCAAATTAATTAAAGTTGAATTCAATAAAAAAAACAATATTGCTAAGCGCTCAGTGTGTTGTTGAATACCTTTAATTGCCCTCAACAGTTTGCTGCATCACACTCCGTCCCCGTTGTGCAGAGAGCCAAGTGAATTAGCCACCATTGTTTTTATTCCCCTCCCAACAACAAGGCAGCAGCGGATGCTGGGAAGGCTCTGAGGGATTTGCCGTGATTTGATTCTCGGCGTTTCCCGAGGAGGCGAGGCTCTTATTGAATCGGCTCCATTACATTTCATCTCCACCGGGGGAATAAGGGGCCTCGGAGGGAGCGAGCGCGGTTGTGTTTGTATCACAAACACACCAGAAACAGCGACGCAGACAAACAGACACACAGCAGTCGCCGATAAGGTGTGTGTGTGTGTGTGTCTGTGTGTGTGTGTGTGTGTTTTGCTTTAGTAAAACAAGTTACCAAGTAAAAACTCACCATTATAAACTGGTAGTATGATGTAGTAGTAGTATGCGATGTGAGTTGTAGTAGTATTCCTCTAATTAAATCACACTGTTTCATTCATTCAGTGTAAACATGCAGCTAATCCAACATTCCTGTCTATTCGTGGTCCCCTGAGGCTCCTGACAGGGGCCCCGCTCATTAAACACACACTAAAACCAAACTAGAAACAAGGAGGAGCTGTAAATCATTTAAAAATACAATCTCCAAATTATAGCCGAGACAGTAGGTGCCAGTATTTTACAGTAAATGATGGGATCCGCAAAATAAAAGCCTCCCTCTCTCATTATCCCCCGTAATCCACTTAACAGCAGACATCATCCATGTTGTTTGTTTCACTCTCCTTCCCATGTTTATGTAATCCCACACATCTGACCTTTAAGCCTTTCTCAATCTGTTTATCTCATCTGTTTTCACATTAACAGGCATCTGCCCCGTTTGATGGTTTAACACATCGTCACATCGTGTTTATTTTTCCACTCTGGTTGGTTTCCGGTCGAGCGAGACGAGCTACGATCGAGACGCAAAAAGAATCTTTCTGTGCAAAATCACTTTTCAAATCGATTTATTTCTAATTTTTTTAAGCAGAGTTGCAGACGAAGATTTATTTTTTGGGGATTTTGTCTGAAACTGAAGTATGTTACCCTAAAACTTTTTTAAAGTCTAACGTGGAGTTGGAAGAACTTTTTATCTCTTTCCAACCGTCAAGGACCCGAGAAAAATGGAGCTGGGTCACATCTCTCTGCGCCTCAGCTGCTCCTCTCTCTGGCTCATGATGTGTGAATAGACCCACAGACGAGATGTTGGCGTTCGCTGCTGTGCAGAATGTGAGTGCGTGTTCGGAACAGCGTGTCTTCCTGCAGCTCGGGGAACATCTCTGCTTGAGGGTCATCACGACTGCATGAA